ACAAGGTTACTACAGGAAATAAGCACAAAACTGCCCCTCAAGTCAGGTTCGAGGTGGTGTCGCCAAGCATGTGATGTCCTGAAGAAGATGGAGAGAACAGTATCCTTCCATGATCTGGTAGAATTTGTCAGAGAAGAAGCAGATCTCGCGAATGATCCGGTCTTTTCTCCCGAAGCTTTGAAAAGTAAAAGAAACAAGGGGCCCAACAGAAGCCAAGTAAAGAGAAGTCAGGAGGCTAAATGTTTTGCATCGTTCTCCTCTCGTACCCGGCCTAGCAAGAGCAGAGGAAAGCCTAATGCAGAGCAAGAGCCGAAACAACAAAGTTCGTGCATCTGCGGTGGCAACCACCCACCTCAGAAGTGTGGAGAACTAAGCAGGAAGAGCATTGAGGAGCGCCTGGCACTGGTTAGATCGAAAGGCCTCTGTATTGGATGCCAGAAAAGGGGTCATCAATCAAAGAACTGTCGAGTTAGGTTAAATTGCCAAAAATGGGCTAGGCAGCATCCAACTCCACTTCATGACCCTTCGTATAAAGAAGGATCTAGCAACCAGAATACTCCTGAATCAACTCGGTCCGATTCGGCCCAAAGTCGTCAAGCAAGTTCAGAGGTCGCGGACAACGACAGCCACTCCAACCCCAATGTTGGTGTGTGTAGCGCATTGAGTGGGCATAGCACTGTAACGAATTCTTTAATCATCCCAGTCTACGTGTTTCGCAAGAGTCACCCGAGCTTAAAGTCAAGGTCTATGCGTTATTGGATGACGCCAGTGACACGACGTTTATCAAGACTGACCTGAAGGATAACCTTGGAATCCCTGGGGTTGATTCGAAACTTATACTTAGTACCATGCTTGGAAGCGAAGAAATCGCCGTTTGCAGAGTGGATGGGCTGGTAGTTCAGAGGATATATCAGCGCGTTCAAGTCGAGCTACCTAGGACATTCTCCAGAGACCAGATACCATCCAGAAGAGACCAGATTCCTAGTCTTGAAGTTGCAGCCGTGTGGCCACATCTCCAATAGATCGAAGATAAGATTATGCCGTATCAAGAAAGCTTGGAAATCGGATTGCTGATCGGCTGCAACTGTCCGAAGGGGATCCAGCCTAAAGAGGTTATTTTGGGTAAGGCAGAAGATCCTTACGCGGTCGGCACTCTCCTAGAGCGGGGAATAATTGGTCCCGTCAGTCCGTTAGTAGATATTCAGCCAGACTGTGGAGAGCATTTAGCGTCGTCGTGCAATTGAATCGTTGCATATGAAGTTGATACTGGCTGCCGTAGCAAGCGCAGCTTTGTTCTCAATGCGCAAACTAAAGAAGAAATAAATCCCTTTGCAGTGACACGAATGTTCGAACGGGACTTCTCAGAGGAATTTATTCCTGGATTGGGGCTTTCAAAAGAAGACAGAAGATTCCTCACCATCCTCAGGCAAGCAATTACACAACTTGAGAATGGCCACTATGAACTGCCCCTACCCCTGAGGAATCCGAATGTCGTTCTTCCTAACAACTGCGAGTCAGCCTTTCGTCGCTTGTTACAACTCAAAAGAAGATTCACAGCCAATAGAAGATACCGTGACGACTATGTCACCTTCACGGAGAAGATGATAGAGAAGGTTTTTGCTGAAAAGGTGAAACAAAGCGCCTCTTCATCGTCAGATACAGAACAACGAAACGTCTGGTATATCCCACACCATGGAGTATACCATCCCAAGAAACCAACTAAGATTCGCGTTGTTTTCGACTGTGGCAAAAAGTTCAAGGGAGAGTCTCTAAATAAACACCTGTTACAAGGCCCAGACTTAACGAACACTCTTACAGGTGTCCTGAACAGCTTCCATCAAGAGCATGTGGGGTTAATGTGTGATATTGAGCCCATGTTTTATCAAGTGTGTGTTGCTGAGGAGTACGGGGATCTACTGCGCTTCCTCTAGTGGGAGAATGGAGACTTTTTGAAGAATCCAATTCAGTACCGAATGACCGTGCACCTTTTCGGTGCAACCTCCTCTCCTTGTTGTGCCAATTTTGCTTTGAAGAAGTCTGCGCAAGATAGTGAGTGTGAGTTGGGATCAGCTGCCGCTGACTTTCTGCGGAACGACTTCTATGTGGATGATCCATTGAAGTCCTGTGCCACGATTGAGGAGGCGAACCATTTGATCAAGTCTGTGAAAGAAATGTGCAGAAGAGGAGGTTTCAACCTGCAGAAGTTCGTTTCCAACAAGAAGGAGGTCATAAAGAACATCCCAGTGATTGACAGAGCTGATCACCTCAAGAGCATAAACCTCGATCTTGACAAGTTACCCATGGAACGAGCACTCGGTGTTCAGTGGTGTATTCAGTCAGACACTTTCCAATTTCGTATAGCATTGAAAGACCGTCCTTGTACAAGAAGGGGAATTCTCTCCACCATCAGTTCTATTTTTGACCCACTTGGTTTTATTGCACCAGTGCTATTAGAAGGAAAGAGTATTCTACAAGAATTGTGCCGCAATGGTGTGGATTGGGACGACCCAATAATACCTGAGGTGATCAGAGCAAGATGGGAAAGATGGAGGACTGAGCTTCATGTTCTTCAGCATTTTTCAATTCCCAGATGTTTCAAACCTGATGACTTTGGAACAGTAGTAAAGAAAGAGCTGCACCATTTCTCCGACGCCAGCACTAAGGGATACGGTCAATGCAGTTATCTGAGGCTTCAAGACGATTCCGGCAGAATCCATTGTGCCTTTGTAGTTGGCAAGTCGCGAGTGACCCCCCTCAAGCCTGTCNACCATATTGGTTCTCCTCCATCCTAGCATTAGCACTGCACTGATGAAGCCCAGAAGGCCGAAATAGTACTGTCTGCAGTTATATATGTAAATATATATATATACATACATACATACATACATACATACATACATACATACATACATACATACATACTACATACATACATACATACATACATACATACATACATACATACATACATACATACTACATACATACATACATACATACATACATACATACATACATACATACATACATACTACATACATACATACATACATACATACATACATACATACATACATACATACATACTACATACATACATACATACATACATACATACATACATACATACATACATACATACTACATACATACATACATACATACATACATACATACATACATACATACATACATACTACATACATACATACATACATACATACATACATACATACATACATACATACATACTACATACATACATACATACATACATACATACATACATACATACATACATACATACTACATACATACATACATACATACATACATACATACATACATACATACATACATACTACATACATACATACATACATACATACATACATACATACATACATACATACATACTACATACATACATACATACATACATACATACATACATACATACATACATACATACTACATACATACATACATACATACATACATACATACATACATACATACATACATACTACATACATACATACATACATACATACATACATACATACATACATACATACATACTACATACATACATACATACATACATACATACATACATACATACATACATACATACTACATACATACATACATACATACATACATACATACATACATACATACATACATACTACATACATACATACATACATACATACATACATACATACATACATACATACATACTACATACATACATACATACATACATACATACATACATACATACATACATACATACTACATACATACATACATACATACATACATACATACATACATACATACATACATACTACATACATACATACATACATACATACATACATACATACATACATACATACATACTACATACATACATACATACATACATACATACATACATACATACATACATACATACTACATACATACATACATACATACATACATACATACATACATACATACATACATACTACATACATACATACATACATACATACATACATACATACATACATACATACATACTACATACATACATACATACATACATACATACATACATACATACATACATACATACTACATACATACATACATACATACATACATACATACATACATACATACATACATACTACATACATACATACATACATACATACATACATACATACATACATACATACATACTACATACATACATACATACATACATACATACATACATACATACATACATACATACTACATACATACATACATACATACATACATACATACATACATACATACATACATACTACATACATACATACATACATACATACATACATACATACATACATACATACATACTACATACATACATACATACATACATACATACATACATACATACATACATACATACTACATACATACATACATACATACATACATACATACATACATACATACATACATACTACATACATACATACATACATACATACATACATACATACATACATACATACATACTACATACATACATACATACATACATACATACATACATACATACATACATACATACTACATACATACATACATACATACATACATACATACATACATACATACATACATACTACATACATACATACATACATACATACATACATACATACATACATACATACATACTACATACATACATACATACATACATACATACATACATACATACATACATACATACTACATACATACATACATACATACATACATACATACATACATACATACATACATACTACATACATACATACATACATACATACATACATACATACATACATACATACATACTACATACATACATACATACATACATACATACATACATACATACATACATACATACTACATACATACATACATACATACATACATACATACATACATACATACATACATACTACATACATACATACATACATACATACATACATACATACATACATACATACATACTACATACATACATACATACATACATACATACATACATACATACATACATACATACTACATACATACATACATACATACATACATACATACATACATACATACATACATACTACATACATACATACATACATACATACATACATACATACATACATACATACATACTACATACATACATACATACATACATACATACATACATACATACATACATACATACTACATACATACATACATACATACATACATACATACATACATACATACATACATACTACATACATACATACATACATACATACATACATACATACATACATACATACATACTACATACATACATACATACATACATACATACATACATACATACATACATACATACTACATACATACATACATACATACATACATACATACATACATACATACATACATACTACATACATACATACATACATACATACATACATACATACATACATACATACATACTACATACATACATACATACATACATACATACATACATACATACATACATACATACTACATACATACATACATACATACATACATACATACATACATACATACATACATACTACATACATACATACATACATACATACATACATACATACATACATACATACATACTACATACATACATACATACATACATACATACATACATACATACATACATACATACTACATACATACATACATACATACATACATACATACATACATACATACATACATACTACATACATACATACATACATACATACATACATACATACATACATACATACATACTACATACATACATACATACATACATACATACATACATACATACATACATACATACTACATACATACATACATACATACATACATACATACATACATACATACATACATACTACATACATACATACATACATACATACATACATACATACATACATACATACATACTACATACATACATACATACATACATACATACATACATACATACATACATACATACTACATACATACATACATACATACATACATACATACATACATACATACATACATACTACATACATACATACATACATACATACATACATACATACATACATACATACATACTACATACATACATACATACATACATACATACATACATACATACATACATACATACTACATACATACATACATACATACATACATACATACATACATACATACATACATACTACATACATACATACATACATACATACATACATACATACATACATACATACATACTACATACATACATACATACATACATACATACATACATACATACATACATACATACTACATACATACATACATACATACATACATACATACATACATACATACATACATACTACATACATACATACATACATACATACATACATACATACATACATACATACATACTACATACATACATACATACATACATACATACATACATACATACATACATACATACTACATACATACATACATACATACATACATACATACATACATACATACATACATACTACATACATACATACATACATACATACATACATACATACATACATACATACATACTACATACATACATACATACATACATACATACATACATACATACATACATACATACTACATACATACATACATACATACATACATACATACATACATACATACATACATACTACATACATACATACATACATACATACATACATACATACATACATACATACATACTACATACATACATACATACATACATACATACATACATACATACATACATACATACTACATACATACATACATACATACATACATACATACATACATACATACATACATACTACATACATACATACATACATACATACATACATACATACATACATACATACATACTACATACATACATACATACATACATACATACATACATACATACATACATACATACTACATACATACATACATACATACATACATACATACATACATACATACATACATACTACATACATACATACATACATACATACATACATACATACATACATACATACATACTACATACATACATACATACATACATACATACATACATACATACATACATACATACTACATACATACATACATACATACATACATACATACATACATACATACATACATACTACATACATACATACATACATACATACATACATACATACATACATACATACATACTACATACATACATACATACATACATACATACATACATACATACATACATACATACTACATACATACATACATACATACATACATACATACATACATACATACATACATACTACATACATACATACATACATACATACATACATACATACATACATACATACATACTACATACATACATACATACATACATACATACATACATACATACATACATACATACTACATACATACATACATACATACATACATACATACATACATACATACATACATACTACATACATACATACATACATACATACATACATACATACATACATACATACATACTACATACATACATACATACATACATACATACATACATACATACATACATACATACTACATACATACATACATACATACATACATA